ATCAAACTCTCAATATTCCACTACCATACATCTCTCAAACTATTATTCAATTATTGGATAACTTGTGTATTGAGCATATTATAATAAATGAACATAAATGTCCAATCTAATTATTAGTTTAGACTTTTAATTTGATATCAGAATCAATTTCACGCCAAATGTCAAGTAATCGATTCGCACACTGTGTTGAGATGGAGTACACGTTATATATATATATATATATATAAAACATGCACAAGCCTTCTCACTAACCACATTTCAGAAACCCAATTAAAATGGAACATACCAGGTGCGGGTATAGCTTCCCGTACAATTGTGCGGTTAGATCTGAATCGTTGATCAAATCTAGATCAACGGTTCAAATCAATGAAAATTAAAAAAAAAATGCGTGTGTGGAAGTAAGAAGCATAAGCTAAAAATGGCGCACCTTAAGTGATAGAAACACGCACCTTAAGTTTTAGATCTTAAGCACAAACTCACGCACATTAAGCACAAAACCCACGCACATTAAGCACAAAACCCATGCACTTTAAGTATTAACTCACAGACCTTAAGTTTCAACAACTACTGACATTAATCACTAACCTCACGCACATTAAGCACAAACCCTACGCACATTAAGCACAAACTCCACTCACATTAAGAACAAATCTCACGCACCTTAAGCACAAAAGCCCACACTTTAAGTTTTAACAACTACTCACATTAAGCACAACCCCACGCACATTAAGCACAAAACTCACGCACCTTACGCACAAGACTCACGCATCTTATATACAAAACACATGCACATTAATCACAGAACCGCTCACCTTAATTTTGACCTAGATGCAAAAATTACAAAATTGCCACCATTTTTTTTTTTAAAATTTTGATAATCCTGGACGTTGATTTAAGCGAGATGAATGGCTCAGATTAAACCGCACAATCGCACCTGGGCACCCTAACGCACCAGAACCTATTTATATATATATATATATATATATATATATATATATATGTGTGTGTGTGTGTGTGTGTGTGTGTGTGTGTGTGTGTGTGTGTGTGTGTGTGTGTGTGTGTAGCATTAAATGTTATATAAAATTTATATTTATGTTTAAATTATTAATAGTTTGAGTAGCTTAGTTGATTAAATTTTAAATTTGAGATAAAAAAAAGTGTATAGTAATAGGTTCAAATATCATTAGCACGATTGTCTTATCTTCACTTATTTTATATCTTTCATTATCTCCCAAGATAAATTAAATATTTGTTAGTCTACTTAATTTATAAAAATGTAAAGTTGATCTAACTAAAAAAAAATTAAAACTAAAAAGTATTTATGAATACAGTGTTATTCAAATTATTTTATCTAATTGATTATGTTTCATATTTTGTCATAAATATTTTCACATTTTCACCTACTCAAGTTTATTTTTGATTTCGACTCTAACTATCGTGTAATCTATCAAAAACATTTTATTGTAATTTATAATATATTTTATATTTTAATCTTATTATAATTGTTTGATATTTTGTAATTGACATATCTAATGTCGTTTAAACTTAGCTCCACTCAAATAATTTTCTGGCACCGTATAATTAAATAATTTGCACCGACACGTCTCGAGATCGGAACATGGAGATACGGGCACTGCAGTAATAATGCCGTGTGATATTCCTGGTAACCCTGTCCAAGTAGGAAAATGATGACCCAATAAATATATTTTAGTTAAGATTATGATTTATTAATTAAGTGCATGGTTCCATGCATGAATTTGACTATAGTTAATTAGTACACACCAATATTTAAGTGTAATTAGATTCAGGATTTTAGAAGTTTATGAACATGAAGCTTCCGACAGTCCTGGAAAATTTTAACGTTTCCACACGTTTTAAAGTCTATAATGTAATGCACCAGAAAATTTGACGATTTCGTGTCTGCTTACACAGATTATTATGGTGGCGTGCCCTTTAAAATAATAATAATTATTATTATTATTATTATTATTATACTTCAATAGAACTACAATAATGAAGAATAGTTACAAAAAGGATAACAATTGGAATTAGATAACTTTATGAGTATGGCAATGTAAAATGTTACATTCATACAAAGAAGTTAAGTTGGGGTATAAGTGAAATATACATTCAAACTATTTGTACTGATGTTATTGACCTGAACTAAAAATAAAAAATAAAAAATAAAAAATTCAACATAACACCTCTGGTAAAAGATACAATTTGACTATTTTTACTTGATACAACCGGTTATCATTAATTTGGCTAAAAACTACGTTGCCAATATATAGGGATGTTTGATAAATAACTGATAGCAGATAGTTAGCTGATTGAGTTAGTGGGTTTGACTAGTTGATAATATTAGTTGATTGAGTTAGTAGGTTTGACTAGTTCATAACATTAGCTGATTGTAGAAAATTGTTTGGTCAAGCTGTTAGCTGATTAAATACAAATGACTTTCTCAAAAATCTGATTGAAAAAATCATTTTGAGCATCTTTTTGAATTCTAGCATTTTGAAACAATAATTTGTTACAAAAAATTAATTAATCAAACACTTATATTGATTGTTTAACCAAGTCAAACAACGAAAGTGATCAAATAAGTCAAACTTAATTGATAGACTAATTATATATTTTACCAATGAGGGCGATAATTTTTTTAGATATTTCATTTGCCACAAGTTATTTCTTATATATATATATATATATATATATATATATATATATATATATATATATATATATATATATATATATATATTGCTTTTATTAAAATCATGAAATGAAATTTATATATAGTCTATTTTATTTTTCATATGGTCACTTAAATACAACTTCATATTAAAGGAGAAAAAAATTACTAAGTATTAATATCTAGTATCTAATTAAATGTGGAGTAAATTTTTTCCATATAGATACATAGTTGAAAAATCATGAAGTGTTTTCTTATCCAATATTTAATATTGATAATGATAATGGTGTTCTTGATTATGGAGAAGGGGGCTAAGTCCTGTTTGGTAACATAGTTAACTTATAATTCAATTTTGGTTTATTTGATCACGACTAACTATTTGACTTGGTTAAACATTCAATATAAGTGATTGATTTTTGTAACAACTTATATTGTTCCAAAATATTAAAATTCAAAAAGCTGCTCAAAATAGTTCTTTGAGAAAGTCATTTTGAATGTAATCAACTATCAGCTGACAGCTAATTTACCAAACATCTTTCTACAATCAGCTAATGTTATCAACTACTCAAACCACTAATCCAATCAGCTACAACTAACAACTATTTACCAAACACCCCCTTTATCTTTTATTTTTTAAAAGAAAATCTAGAACTTTAAATCATCTTTGAAATTATAATATTTTCAAAATCTAATGTACATATGTCTCATACTCTTTGATTTAGTGAAAAATTTATAACCACTATTTGAAAGTGCGCATTGAATAAAGTCAATCTTGTAATCCTAGCTAGCTGGTCGACTAAAACCAAGAAAGCTATTAGACTACTCATACAGGACGTCAGGAAGTCAAATTTATAATTACTAAGTCTACTACCTGATCAACCTGATTGAGATTACGACATAAAATTCATGTCTTGTTTGCAACCATAACGATGCAACTTCAAATGTAACATGCCAAGTAACAAATTAGCTTAATTGTGAAACTGTGATGGTGCATGGCATATACTTTGCGTTAAAATAGATATAATGCATTCCCTTTACTCTTGATGGATTATCCCTGCAAAAAGCTTTTTGCTTTCTTAGTCCATTCTCACCAGTCATGCATTATCCATCCTGCAATCGACAGTAAACCACAACCTTCTTATTTTGTTTTATTTTTTATACATTAAATTTCTCAGCTTATGCTAGATTAATCTTAAGTCCAAAAATCACTTTCTCGCAACCTTTTTTTTTTTTAACAAATGACATCTTGGTAAGGCACATATTCCTCAATCATCATCATCATCTATCCATCTCTTCATAATTGCTTGAGATTTCAGCAATCAACTGGAATCCCAGTACTCCATACTTCAATTCTTTGGGGTAACTAATTTAATTACTGCTGTAACTGTAAGTACCCTGCAGTAAAAGTAGTAAAAATTGAGTCTTGGAGTTACCTTGAAGTACCCTATAAGCCATGCATTTTTTGATCAGAAAAAGTTACTGGTGTACAAATATTTCTGACTTCAGTCTCTGGGTTGATATGATTGAGGCACTGTGGAAGGTTAGAAGGAATCATACGTAAATTCTGGCAATATAATCTCCGTAAATAATTGTTTTCTAAGGAAAGGGTCATAGGTTATCCGGCGGCTGTGGTGCAAGAACCAACTGTTTCGACGGCGGAGATGTGTCGTCGTCAAAAACAGTGAAACGCCAAATTCGGTGTTGAAAGTTAGAAAAAAATTTCTGGTTTGGACAGAGGACCAAACAGACGGTAAGAACGAGGGGGTTTATTATTTGTGGAATCTTATTCCAAAAATAAAAAATAAAAATTTGTGGAATCTCTAACTGCCCGATAAAATATCTGACTGCTGCCCGGCTGTCAGCTCCTGTTTCCGGTTTCAGCGTTTCTCTGTCACGGTCAGCTGCCCTTTTACCCAACTTTTTTCCAATATATTAAATTCTTGATCTTACATCTAACTTGTTTGGCCCGCCTTTAAAGTTACTGCAGAGGTTAATCATAAGTCGTACAATCAATTCACCCATCAGATCTTATTTACCTAATCTTTAAGTAGGTAAGAAATCAACTATGCTGAAGCCCTCCTTTAAAGTTACTGTAGAGATAAATTGCAAATGGCACAATCAGATTTTATTCGTCTGGCCTTTAAGTAGGTGACGAGTCAATTATACTGAATCCCGAAAGGTTAAACTTGTAACTTTATGATTATTAATCTAATATTCTTACAATTATGAATAGAGTTGTCCACCAAATTACCATCTTACCCTTTACGGGCAGTGGCTCCCAAACTTCAACTCACGCACACAACTCTCCAAGTCTTCCAAAGTCTCCTTTACAGACGCCCATAACCGGCATTAAATATGTAGGAGCTCACACTTTCCAATTCCGCCACCACTCCCCTCTGCCCAAGCCGCCGTGGTGCAGGGGTGCCTCCTCTTCTGGGCTTCATCTCCCCCCACCGTGAAAAAAGATCGCAGCTTTAGGAATGGGTCAGGGGCTGAGTTGCAGAACGAGTGATGAGCACGGGCTGTTCACCGCCGTGCAGTGTGGAGATGTGGAGACGGTGGAGACGGTGTTGGGGAGAGAGCCAGGTCTCATCCACCACACCACGGTGTATGATCGCCACTCCGCTTTGCATATAGCCGCCGCCAATGGCCAGATCGAGGTGGGTTCTTGGAAATTTTCAATCTTTATGACTGGAACTTGGTGACTTGGTGTTCTTGTGGGCGTTTTGATTGATGGGTGTTGATTCCCTTTTCAGGTCGTTACTATGCTCTTAAACCGATCTGTTAATCCAGATTTGTTGAATCGCCACAAGCAGGTTCTGTTTCGTTTCTGAGCAGTTTGTTTGGAAAATTTGTGGATTTTTTTTTTTTTTTTCCTTTTCCTAATGATTGCTGATGGTGTTCTTTTTTTTGGGTGATTTTGGATGGTTTAGACTCCATTGATGCTGGCTGCAATGCATGGAAAGATCGATTGTGTGCAAAAGCTCATCGAAGCTGGGGCCAACGTAAGCTAAGCTACCCATATTCCATTTCATTCCATTTATAGTATTAATTTGAATTGAATGTGTGGCTGATCTTGGAAAATTTAACAGATATTAAAGTTTGATTCACTTCATGGGCGAACTTGTTTGCACTATGCTGCTTACTATGGCCATTCCGATTGCCTTAAAGCAATTCTCTCTTCGGCTCGTACATCCCATGTTGCTGCTTCTTGGTTAGCATCTAGCTGAAGATTTGGTTTCTTTGTGTGATTCTTTCCTTTTATGGATAGAGTTGTTATAAAGAACTTTCTAATATTATCTTGTGGTTGAATAAAATAATATCCCAGGGGGTATGCCAGATTTGTGAATGTTAGGGATGGTAAGGGGGCAACACCTTTGCACTTGGCTTCTCGTCAGAGACGGCCCGAATGTGTTCATATGTTATTGAACAATGGAGCTTTGGTTTGTGCATCAACTGGAAACTATGGGTAATGATATGGAGAACTTTTTGGTTCTTTGGTTCCTAGTTTTCCTTTAGAGTTTTGGATTGAGAAATCTCGTGTTACAGTTTTCCAGGCAGCACTCCTCTTCATTTGGCTGCGAGAGGGGGATCTCTCGATTGTATCCGTGAATTGTTGGCGTGGGGTGCAGATCGACTTCAACGAGACGCTTCTGGGTACTAATCTTTCCCTCTTTGCACTAATCTTTGTGATTCTTGATTATATTTGTCTCTAGCATTGTCTATTTTCACTCTTTCGTTGATACCCACAGTGCTATGATTGGCTAAGAATTTTATAGTTTTGTGATTTATCAGTTATGAAGACCAATCGTTGGTTTTATGAAGCTTTATAATTGAGTATATTGACCTCGTGTTTTACAGGAGAATACCATATACGGTTGCTTTTAGGCATAACCACAGGACGTGTGCGGCTTTGCTGAATCCCTCATCTGCAGAGCCGATCGTATGGCCTTCACCTCTGAAGTTCATTAGCGAGCTAAATGAAGAGGCAAAAGCTTTGTTAGAGCGAGCTCTGATGGATGCTAATAGAGAGAGGGAAAAGAGTATTTTAAAGGGAACATCGTACATGCTACCTTCTCCATCTCGTTCTGAAGCAGGGATCGAAGACTATATTTCAGAGGTAAATTAAATAACCAATCTTGGTAGAATATGTTTAGTTAGTTGAGTTGCGGGGAAGACTCGGAAACTCTGCAACATAGGCAAAGTTGTTGGAATCCCGATTAAACGATTAATACCAATTTTGTCTCAATGGCTTGTCATAATGCTTAAATAAAGCAATGATTTTTATTTTTCACATTGCTTGGGGATTTGGTACCGACCATTTTTGTCAAAATTTGAAATTTTAGCGAGTAAAACTTGTAAAAGCTGCAACCTTTCTAATTGTGGAAAGAGTAGTATTCACTCGAAGATTTTGATCTTTGCAGGCCAGTGATTCAGAACTATGTTGCATTTGCTTCGATCAACTCTGCACGATTGAGGTACAAGACTGTGGGCATCAGATGTGCGCACAATGTGTGCTCGCTTTGTGTTGCCATAACAAACCGAACCCGACCACGACCGTAACCGCTGCACCTTTGTGCCCTTTCTGCCGAAGCAGCATCGCACAATTAACCGTCGTAAAGGTTAACAATGATGACAGCGACCACGATGCCTACTTGAAGGTGAGGAAGTCTAGGAGATCCCGAAACCTCAGCGAGGGGAGTAGTAGCTTCAAGGGGCTATCGGCAGTGGGATCGTTCAGCAAAGTGACCAAATCGGGCAGGATTGCTGATGAAAACGACATGATTGATAAGCCATTAAGCCTTGATTGATAGCCATCGAATTTGGTATCTCAAGAATCAAGATCTCCAACTTGGCAATCAAGAATTCAATGTGGGGTCTTGCTGCACAAGTGGTATATATCTATTATAGCTCTCTCTCTCTCTCTTTTTCTCTCCATCCCCTTTGTAGATTTGGGGAATAAGCAAAGCTAAAATGATTGCGAGCTCCAGGTTGGTGACTATTATTTGTGTGGGTTGCGATATTTGTTGTAAATTTCTATTTTACTTCAGCTGAAGAAGGTTGGTGCTGTTAGCTACCCAGTTAGATCAAGAATTCCATATTCTTTCCTCTCCTACCCAAAATCCTCACACCATTCTTCATTGCCTTCCACCTTAGCTCATCCCTTTCTGTATTAATGCTTAGGTGTGAACTGTGAGGTGTATTGTTTCATTATCTTCTCTCCCCTCCCCCCATTACTGTAAGAAATGAATGGTAGATGATGATGTTGTATCATCATCATCGTCATCGTATAATATATTAAAGAATATAAGCTGCAAGTGAAAATCTTGGTTTGGTGTTGGCTAATTGGGTGTCATGTGAACATGTTTTTTTTTCTAGTTCAATCAGTTGAGCATATAACCATTAATGTGCAATCTAACTATCAGCTTAGACTTTTAGTTGAGATGGAGCACATGCTTCAATTCTATTATTTGGGACCCAGAAGCCATGATCTGATGAAAATGCATAATTTTAAATTGGGTGAATTTCGAAATCCAATCAACTAACTGTTGTGGATGTAAGCAAAGTTGATTGGAATGGGATTGTTACAGTTACCCAGAATCAAGATCTGTGATGAAAGATGAATGTGAACTGGGTTTGGTGGAGAAAGAGCACCAAACATAATTGAGGATTTGAGGGTCCCAAGTTACAGTTAGCCTTTTGTTTTCATACGTTTGTTGATATTTATGAAAGGGATGTATCGTAGGTAAGCACGTATATCTATGTTTTGACGCATATATGGTGATGTGTTCATTAAATCTATGAATCCATAGAAGTTTAGATCAGCTAAGGTTGTAGAATAGTTAGAAGTTAGGATTGATGTGTCTGGTGGTAGGATTATAAGTTAGGCTGATCAACTGCCACCCATACCCATTATTGATAGGAATCAGCTCCACTTTCCATTAGTCCGCTGAGGGATCATCTTCTAGATTATCATTCATTTGTATTTTTGCAATAGTCACTCAAATTTTCCCCGTTATACTATGGACCAGGGTTTATATTGCACTGTGACCCCGATATAAAAATTCTGTACATTCAGTTAACACATTCTATACTTATAGTTAATCATTTCTGTACATATAAAAAAATAATTTGATAATTACTGACACATAATATGATAACTACAGGTACAGAAACTATTAGTTACAGATACATAATGTGTCAACTATAGATGCAGAATCTAAATGTTATTTTTGGGCCAGTATTTTGGTATTGTAACTCTAAATCTTTACTTTATGTATAATTTATGCTATCACCCTTCATTTTTAAACGACATATAGTCATATTTTTATATGCCATGGAAGACTCGTTCTAAATGTGGAATGCAGATGATTGCTGACTTGTATGCTCGATCAGCCATATTCAACAAGAGAGGTTCCTTTTCATAGTCCACTTGAAGGGTTGAATTTTTTTATTTTTTTATTTTATATATATAGAAGTATTTAAAAAGAGAAGATATTTAATGAGTAAAAGATATTTGCAATTGTTTTAAGATTAATTTAATGATGTTTGACTGGAGAATGTTATGCGTGTAACAAGAACATGATCACACAAGAACAAATTAAACCAATTATCTGCAGACTACCTTTTTTAAATTGATGATTTATTAGCAAAGATATCGTCATCTCTTCCCCAGCGGCTCAACTATTCTTTTAATTTATAAATATTCAAGAATTGTTTGATAATTGAAAGCTGAAAATATCTGTGTAGCAGGTGGCAAAACATTGATGTGACACAGAAACAAACATTTCTTGACATTTGGTTGCCACCAAAAAAAGTTGAAATTTCACATGACCCGACCGGAAGATCGATGAAAAGCTTTTATAGGACGTGTGTAGTACGATAAATACATAAAAACACAGACCATTCAACAAACCTCATCTATGATCTGTCTCTGTTTATCTTTCAATTTCACATCTTTCATACAAAACCAAACACCTGTGTGATCAATTGAATAAGTTGAAATTTAAAATAAGATATCATAATCGAGTCTCACCTCATACATTATATATCTGTTCTTGAAGTTCTTGAAGTTCTTGTGAGTTTACTACTCAGAGTCGTGTTTTTTTTTTTTCCCGATAACTATTCAATAAAAATATGTTTCAACATCACTAGTTCACTACAAAGGAGTACTTTTTTTTAGAAATTTCAACAAAACAAACAATGGGAAAAATATGAATTGAAAAGTAAAGGGTCTAATAAGCACAATGTTTAACCACAAATGCATGGGAACAATACCAGTGGAACACCCTGATGATCTTGTTCAGTGTCTAAAGACCTGTTGCCCGGGGCCCTTCCAGCCCATGGGCTCAGCTGGGGAGGGGCAATTCGGTCATTGGCGAAGAGTGAATTCGACGACTCTCGATCGTGCTGCACCAAAGCGTATTCGTCTGGCCCGTAGATGAGAGGGCTATGGTGGCTTCTCCGGTGCCCATTTCCAGCCCGTCTTTCCACAGCTAGAAAATGGCCGAGCGATGCAGTGTTGCTCCTTATGGCGCTCTCGCCATCAGTGCTGTTTCTCGGGCACAATGAGAAGCACCAGGCGGCTCCGGGCCTCCTAGTGTACTTCTTTCCGACTACTTGATTGGCTTCAACACTCGAGGGTCTTCCCCTCGTTGATCTCCTCGAGAGGTTCACGATTCTTGAAACGCCAATTAGGCTTCCTAAGGTTGTGCTCCTGTCATGGAAGAATGACCCTGTGGACTGGAAATCACATTTCCACTCGTTTAAGTTTTGATACTCGAGGAACAAGATAACGTTGGAGCAAAAACCAACTTCAAATACTTTCTGACACAACATTATAACAAGAATGAAGATTGAATATCCGATTAAGTAGTAATTAGTCACTAACTCGTACAAAAATGAATTAATTATGAAAGAATTAGATAACCAAACTAGCTTGTGGTAACAGATGTTAAACGGTATTCATGTCGTGTCTTATCACATTGAGCAAGAATACAAGAAAGTGCAGGATTCAAAACACAAATATATATTACTAAAACTAATAATGTAGAGAATCTACGAAAGGGAAAAGAAAAAAAAAAAAAAAGAGTATTTAAACTATTTCAAGAATCGAACTGACCTCGCTGTCCAAGTCCGAGGAGGAATCTGTAGAGGAAGCGGGGGACTCACTGAGTAACGTGTTGAAAGATGTCGATCCAGACAAGTAGTCTCTGTTTCTCACTACCCCTACCCTTAAATTCAGAGGCTGCAGTCCCAGAGGCCACCCTCCTTCCTGCAATCCATCAAATCAAATCATTCAATCTTTTGAAGAAAATATTTATAAAAAAAAAAACACAAAAAGATAAGGACAAGAGCAATTTGTGCAAGAGGCTTCATAAACCCAGTACCCATCTTCAGAAAACTAATCTACAACAAGCCAAGCAGCCCATATGGGTTATTCCCAAACAATGAGGGTCAAGACAACATAGTACCTGTTGAGCCATAGGCACCACTGTCCTACTACTTTTGCCCTTCTGTCTTGAAATGATTTTCAATCAGTTAGTACAACCTCAATGCCTAATGACAAACAATCAGTGAGGTTACCTAGCATAGGATCCTAGGATAGGATTAACCAAAGAAGAGGTGTCATATCCTAAGTTTATTCCACCAAGCAGAAAAATGCAGATTAACAAAAGAAAGATAGATGCTTTACATGCAGAGATAGAAGATGGGGTCTTAAGAAACAAAGGGGGAATGGAGTCAAAAAAGAACTTATGATTCCTAAGCAGTAATAATGTGGAGAAGCTGTTGCTTTTGCTCTATTGATGCCAATAAGAAACAGGAGAATAATTATGTGTAGAAAAAGGTGGATAAAGCAGACAAACACAAAACCCTTGAGGCTGCTAATAAAGTAGCCAAAGCTGATCCAAACCTTGACTGTCCTAATCAAATTAATGGCATAATTAACAAAAGAGAGATACTCCCCTCTAGGGTTTTATTAGTTTTCCCTGTCTGGCTTGTCATACATGCAAAGCTTTACCCGATTCACGAGAGAATCTTGAAATTATATATTCAGACATTCAGTACTACCATGTCTAGGGGCTTAACTTAAGTAAGATTTAAGGAACAAAAAAAAAAAAAAAAATGGTTCTTGACAATAACTTTCATCAAACTTTCTCTCCCATGATTCCATGAATCAGGTTTAAGTAAATGGACAGATTTGAGATTTCCTACCTGCAATTGCACCCACTAAATCCATGAAATTGATCCAATAGAGATATGAGAGTACCGGCTAGTAGTCTCTTTTCAGGAATGGAAATGATTGAAGCTTTTGACCTGCAAAGGAAGAAAAAATGAGCGTGGGGAGTGGCCCATTGGATAGAAGGTCATTTTCTGCTGGTTCAGAGAGAACCCATTATAGACAAAGGCGCCTTTGGGGCAGGTACGGTGATGGAGACGATGCAGGGATCCAATGTTGAAGTGAAAATGATTTGATCTTCCATTAGGCGTTGAATGATTGTTCTGCGCAGCCTCTTGGGCCGCTGGTCGCTCCTTTTTCCATGAATCAAACGGCCTGCATTCCATATCTGGCCCAAACCGATTTGCAGACACCTTTTCAACAAGCATTTGAGCTTTTAGCTTTACATTATAGCCTTTTTGTCTAGAGAAGAAAGGGAAGGCCCATTTACATTTAATCCTGGGTTATTAGAAATGCCCGGAAAATTGTTTATTTCTTTGATTTATGAAGTTGAAAATTCCTATTCGAAAGTGTGCTTTTAGTGAAATTCGTCGACCATAATTGACAAAAAAGAAAGAACTACAAGAAGGTAAATTAATCAATATTACCTATAGCTAATCATTTTAAATCAAGAATGCTGATAAGCAGTTCCAGTGAGGAGTCAAACTTAGAACTTTTAGTTACTAAGTTAATTGTCGTGGTAAAAAATTATAGTCACTATAGTCAATTTAGTCATGCATCCTAAGTTTCTAACAATCTTTCTAAGTGGTCAATATTACTAGCTACTGCAGTGATTTGTTGTTTGGCTTGATGTCACGATGGAAGATAGCAGTGTAAGGGTTCAAATCTCATGAATGGATAAAAGGCCCGAGATGATTGAAGGTGTGGATTGGATTCCTTGTGTACATATGAAGATTAGGTTTGACTAGTGAGCTAATTGCGTGACTCGCTATTTATCTCTGCAGTGACTCTAAGGACGGGATCTTGTGGGCTTAAGATTAATTTGGTGAAACTGGATCAATTAAGTATATTTAAAATAAAATTTAAAAAAAAAAATTACTAACTATTTTTGAAAACGAAAGAGAAGTATATTCATCATGTATGTACATACAAGCCTAGGATTCCTTTTTGTACAAGGCGCAAGGACAATAACATGCATGTAAAGCAAGCAAGAGTTAGTGCAAGTCATACATATGGGCGGTGAATGCGGTTATTATTACAGTAAGGCCATTTGCATGTATATATCTGCATTTTGCCCTACGACAAGGGTACATTCTTGTCATGCTTTGAGGGCACTTCCAATATTATTTTCCCTCAAAATTTCCTTACCATATGATTTCGCGTGTTTAATGTTGTTGTTACGTTACCTTTGTCATTTAATTAACCACCATATATTAATTCAATACTATCCATCATCGGTGGCCGGCCGGCCACATTTTTATTTGACCATTTGATTAAGCCGCCAAGAAGAACATTACAAGCTAGTTCATTATTACGAATATATATAGTTAACTGATAATAACTTCCATTACCATATATATGGTAATTAAATAAATCCTTAACTAACAGTTGTTATATTATAGATCACGGTGCATAATCGATTATGCACCGCGGCCCATATACGGCGCCGTTTCTTTAAGTAAAGAAACGGCCCGCCGTTAGAGTTAACGGAGTCCGTTTGTTTGGTGTATTAAACACCAACTGACACTACAGTATATCCAAACCGACACTGCAGTTATATCAAAATGATACTGTAGTTATAGTGAAATGAAACTGCAGTGTATATAAACTGAAACTGAATAACATTTCACATATTTGAGTGTATATTGTACAATGAAGCTGTAATTATATCAAAATGATCATGTAGTTGTGTTTTAATAAAACTATAGTGTATATAAAATAAAATTAAATAACATTTTCACATATTTGAGTCTATAAATATCGAATGAAACTATAGTTATATCGAAATGAAACTGTAGTTGTGTTCAACTGAAACTGCAGTGTATACAAAATGACACTGAATAACAGAGTTACTTTTTGCAAAAGTGTGCGAAACGGCGGAATAAACACCGTTAATTTTCATTTAAAAAAAAAAAGACGCGCGGTGCATAATCGATTATGCACCGCGGTGCATAATATAATTTGCCCTTAACTAACACATACCAAAGAGCCAAGGACCTTGTGGTCCAATGACATTAAACTAGTGCTCCTTTATAGGGGAGGTTGTGGGTTCGAGTTTCAGTAGAAGTGATATTGACTTTTTGTGCTTCATTTGGTTGAGAAAAATAGTTATGAACAGATACTACATTGTAATAGAGTTAATAGTATTAAAAAAAAAATAAAAAAAAATAAGGAGGTATACCCAGAACAAATGTAACATGTGAGGGGCATGTAATCTATCATTTATAGGGAATGAATTGAAATTGAAATTGAAATTTTTGGTCCAAGTAGTGGAATCACATTTTAATTTAATTAGTTGATCCATTATTATGATATATGAATGCAGTTGCACAAAATGATGGGTTGGTCGATCTCATGTGACAAAAGTTTAAAAGGGGCATAAAAAGCAATGATGAATGTCAATCAAAAATAATACAGTATTAAACGACAAGCAAAACAACCTTGATGTTAGCTATCTAGGATCCCTATCTTTCTGCCAAACCGAATATCCCTTTCTTTCTTTTCAACTTTCTGGTAAAAAAGAAAAAAAAGTTTTTAACCACGATGGATGTTTGTTTCTTCACAAAGTCAAACGCTGCTTGCCTCTCCATCATGGTTTTATTGACAAGGATTTTGAATGTAATTTATCGACTAAGGTCATAAAATATGATTAGGTAATGTTGTTTAAATCGAGAATTAGCAAATTATAAATTTATTTGAACACTGTTATCCTTAGTTATTAATCTTATAATGTTCATTTTATTATAAAATACTTGGAAAGAAATGTAGTGTAGTAGAGCTGCTCTAATATGACGGTAATATGTGCTTGCCCTTTTAATTTTGAGTAGATATTGGCTTTTTTTTTTTTTTTTTTTTTTTTTTTTTTTTTTATCTGACGTCTGTACAATTGCGAAACTAATTCGAGTTCCATTCGGATCACGTTTGCAGAGTTTGAGTTTTACGTGAGAGAAAGCAAACCTCCGACCTCGTAGTTTAATTCAGTCGTCCGCTTACTAACTATCTCAAATATTGAGTTATTGACTCTTATTATATTTTTCACACTTCAAACTCGTGAAGGTTTCGAAAGAGAAAAAGAGAAGAAATGAAAGGGAGAAAATAATAATGGAGTTAATTAAGAGGAGAGAATTGAAATTTATAATTCTGTCATATTTCATGAAATATATCTTTATACCCACTTATAATTAATATATAAAAATATCAAGAAAATAATTATGGAAGGTAAATTATCATGTATGTATATATATATATGATTCTGTCCATCAGTTCTTCTTGATTTTCTATAATTTAGTACGTATGCAATATTACAATTTCCTAAATTTAGGAGCATGATTATCCTAAGATTTCCCCTATGCTCTTATTACCATAATTAGACCCGAAGGAATTAGGGAAGTTACCAAACTCATATCATAATAATGTAACCCAAAAACAAAAAACCCAAAAAACAATTAAAAAGAAAGAAGAAGAAGATTAAAAAAAAAAAAGAAGAAGAAGAAGAAGAAGAAGTTAATTAATAGATGAGATATATGTTATAGAGATGAATTATTGTACATTGAATTTGCTGCATTATACAGAACCGGATCTGCATCTAGCTATATAGCTTACTTATAAGTCAAATTATTATGATGAATAAAGTAAGGCTAAAAATAAGATTGATCATCAATTAACTACATTAATTCGATCAAAGACCGAATATATAGCTAGAAATAATTAATAATAATTAACTGCTCCTAATTTTCTTGATCTTTTTACCAAGATCAGCCAGAAGGAGTGGAGGAAACAAAGATTCAGTCTCATCTGACAAATCAAGAAAAACCCTTTTGTGACAACCTCTTCTACTCTTTGCCGGCATAGCCTTTGGCTTTCTCGGAGCCGGCGGGCAAGCCGCCGGGATCTTATACTCCGGCGACGTTGGAGTTTTACACCCTTCTTCTTCTTCTTTATCTTCTTTCTCCTTGTTTACTCCAGTACTGTTTGTCGTCAGTTTGACCTTCAAAGAAGAAACCAAAACATCGTATCTATTCTCTTGCTGGTGTTTTTCGGAGACTTTCCCGTTATTGTCTCCTTCTTGACGCCGGCCTTCATGATGGTGGTCTGATTCTAATTTTCTGGAAGAAGACGATGACGTAACCATCTGACAAGTTTCTGGAAAGTCGTCGAGAGTGGGTCTTGAGAATACTGTTTCTCTTAAGAAGTTGCAGTCCATGGAATTTAGTGCGGTTGATGCCAAGTCTTTTTCAGAGAGAAAAATAGTGGAAGCCATAGAAGAAGAAGGAGAATTATTTGCTTGGAAATTAGCCATGAAGAAGGATTCGAATATGTGAGAACATAAAGTGTAAGTGAGGTAATATAATGGCAAGAGGAATAGACAGTGAGCAAGCAAACAACCTTAAAGGCAAGCTAAGGGCTTTTGAATTGTGAGGCCTAGATACCTAGGAGATGAGAGGTGAGGTGATATGAGGACGAATAATTCAAGAAAGATATATAAAGGAGAGGAAAAAACAAAAGCTATGTATTTATAGCAGGAGAATGTATAACAAGGTACTCTGATTATAGTGATTTTAACATTTTTAATTTTAAATTTTTAAATTGAGCAACTGCAGTGTTTGGACTTTTAAATTATCTCTGTGGTTCAAGTACTTAACCATTCATGATCCTTTAACTATCAAATTTTAATCACCGTGGTCCTTCCAAGAGGACCAAGACTGGTTAAATTTTGATAATAATAATAATAATAATAATAATAATAATGAATAAGGTCCAAATTGACCATTGAACGTAACCTAAAAATGCAATTAAGTCACTGAACAAAAAAAAAATATGATTAGAACATTGAACACCTCAAATGTATACAATTTCACCTAATAGCAGGTTACCACACATTTCATCAGGTTGTCTGCTTATGTGAATGATACATTGTTATTTTTAATAATAAATTTTAAAAATTAAAATTAAAATTAAAAAATTAATAAAATAATAATAATAATAATAATAATAATAATAATAATAATGACAGCCAGGGTGGCCACCAGCCACCCCTTTCCTGTCCCCTCCTCCTTCATCTCCAACCAGAGACGAAGAAAAGTCTTCGTCTCGAGTTAGAGACGAAGAGACTGTCTCTGATCGGTAACAAAGACCGGTCATTTGTCTCTGCTAGAGACTATGAAAGGGGGAAAGGGGGGTGGCGTGAGACAGGTCCTTCGTCTGACACCACCCCCTTCCTCCCTCCTTCGTATCTACCAGAGACGAAGGAGGAGGAGATGAAGGAGGAGGAGAGAAAGGGAGTGGCCACCCTACCACCCCAACGTTTTCTTCTTTTTTTTTTTAAAAAAAAAAAAGAAAAAGAAAATTAAAATTTGTTTATTTTTATTTGTAAAGTTTAATATTAAATTTTATCCACATGGTCTGAGTCAATCTTAAATTACATCGGAATTGATCTCACCAATTCAACTAACACATAAAATCACCAACATATATTAAGTTTAACCTCTCACTATTTGTTTATTTAATTTTCAAAAATTTGGTCAACATTTAAAACGTTGGAATTTGATGTAGATGGTGTAAGGGACATGTATTAAAATATCACACAAGAATTGAAGCATAGAGTGCCATATGTGTCAAAATGCATAGTGCTATTTAAAAAGAAAAAAATAATTATTGCTGATTTATCTATAGGAAAGACTAGATCATCACAGTATTTTGTGTATAAATTTAAAGTCTTCACTACCCACCTTGAAGTAGGGGTGGGCGTTTCGGGTTTCGGTTCGATTTTTTCGGTTTCAATTTCGATTTTAAAAAAAGTTAAACTATTCAGTTTAACATTAGAGTTTGGTTTGGTTTTGATTCGGTTTGAAACGGTTCAGTTTCGGTTCGGATTTAATTCGGTTCGGTTTAAAATTTCATAATTTCAACATTTCCTAATTTTTCGAATATACTACCAAACAATACATATTCACATAATCACAAAATCCAAATCCAAACTCTAAACATTATATAACAAAATAGCAATCCAAAATTCAAACACAATACTAAGTACTAATTACCAAGCATCAGTCAACTTTTTTGCACAACCGACTCTTCAGTGGGTTCATTTGGGATATTTTTATTGACAAGATGAATAATCATCTATCTGTATAGTTGATATTAGAAGAACAAGGGTAAAGTACTATATAGTTAATTTTTAGACACAACCTGTCATTGCTAGTGCACTTGCAATATATTCCAATACTAAAAATTAATTCTAGTGCAATGAAAATCAAAATTAGAATGACTGTAAAGCACATTAAATTTATAGAAACACGAAACTAAGGAAAATACTGAATATTGTAAATATAACTCAAGTTAGATATAATTGTGAGGTAGAGAACAATTGCGACAAACAACAAAAGTGCAATGTAGAGAACAAGCTATAAAAAAAATTGAATAAAAAATTTAAGGAAGATACCAGTGAGAATAAGAACTAAACGGCGGAGCAGGTATCAAGGGACTTGGATTTACTTTTTTATTATTATTATTATTATTATTATTATTATTATTATTATTATTATTATTATTATTATTATTATTATTATTATTAAATCATATGATATTCGATTTGGTTCGATTTTTGTTAAATTGTTCGGTTTTAGTTCGGTTCGATATCGAACCGTTCAATTTTCTATTACTAGTTCGGCTCAGTTTGATTCTATTCAGATCAATTTGGTTCGGATAAATCGAATTGAAGTGTCCACCCCTACCTTGAAGTGGCATGGTGTATACAAAATATGGGTGTGAATTAATTTGAAGAAATTATTGTTTTTTTGGATTTTAGCTTTCTTATATGTTTAGGATCTGAGAGAAGGTAGTGGATGTGTTCAATTAATAGCCTTCTTGGGCGAAGGATCCGATGCAAACACAAACATGCATCGTCCGCATGCCCCTCTCTCTATATATCCCTTTCAGAGTTAATTAATTTGCAGAAATGGAATATTTTTTACATTATTATTGTGCAGTCAGCTGAGATTAATTAAGTGATTAATATAGTGCAATCTGCTTTTGTGATTTCTTCGCACTTTGAGGCATCAATTCACGTGCTTCGCTACAGGGAAACAACCTCTCTACCTAGCTAGCTACTTCCTACTCATCCCACGTCAAACCTAACCCTCTTAACTTCTTAATTACCCACAAAATGCTAAAATCTAACGGCTGAAAATTATGTAATTTCCGACCACTGAAAGTGATCTTATATCAAATCGAAAGTAAAAAGTGATCAGAAATAACAACAAAAGTTTTTTCGAATATCAAAAATGATCGGAACAAGGTTTTGATTTAAGATCATTTTCAGATGGTCGAAATCCATAATTTCCAACAGTGTCTCTTGCTTTACGATTTCTCAACAAGCTAAGATGATACAGAGGTAAATTACAGTGTCTGGTGCTCATAAAAAGTTCGCCACGAACTCTAATAACTATCCAGGCTCAATCCTATATCATGATCCACAATCTATCGTCTAAAAATCAACTGAAATTGGTGGCACGCCTTCTTATCTTCTTTATCACAACCTCAACAGTCAACCATTTTTGTACTGTCCACACCTACCCTATCAATTCTGTAGTTTTGCATCAGTATACGCATATAACGTAACGTTCTGCGATTAATATATATAATGATCAACAATAATGACATTTGTATAACAGAAATGTGAACAATCATGATAATGAATGAAGTGCGCCCAGATTTCAACCCACAACTTATTATGTTTCACCCGCCGTTATAATAATAATGAACCATGTTTTTCACCCTACCTACTGTATGTAATTAAGCAGTTTTACTTTAATTATTTTCCGGCAAAACTTTACTAGTATTTCTGCATGTCTACTTGTTTAACATACATACACTACGTTATACTGACTATAATACTTTGTCAAAAACTGAAAATGGCTTATTTTACAGAATGGTATCCTTGGAGTATCTTAGGATGTTTTGTTTAATTTGTGAATGCATATGAGGGATCTGGGAGAAGAATCAGAAGATTATGCATGTGGATAGTGGATTAGTTGACATACACCCAATCTAAAGACAAAATCTCTCACAGATAGATCTTCTTAATTGGTTCAACCTAATAACTAAAGTTTTAATCAATCGGATCCAAATTAAAGAAACGTTGACTGCTGCAATATAATGGGTTTAATTACAAAATGGGAAATATAATGAAGTGAAGTGTATAGTAATTTGGTAGGCATAAATATATATAATGCATGCACATTAAATGAAGATGGTGTTAAGTCAGTTCATCATATCTGTGTGCAGTGGCTTCACATATATGGCCCCATGCATCATATCCCCACCCATTAATTGTGATGAACGTAACATGCATTTTAGTCTTATCTTATATTGTCATGTAGAGTGGGCAACACCCATTATTTTATTTTATTATTATTTTTTTTTGAAACCAACACCCATTATTCTTTTGTGCAGTGTCATATGTATCTTAGGATTCTCTTCTCCCATGTTAATTAAATTTGTCGCTTAGCTTAGCCTCCTTCCTATCGGATTATTTGATGTATGTAATATGTTCCAATTCGGTCTTCGTTTCTTTCTATTTTAATTTTAAATTGGTAATTTTTATCACATTCTGACATTAGTTCATATATATATATATATATATATATATATATATATATATATATATATATATATATATATATATATATATATATATATATATATATATATATATATATATATATATATATATATATATATATATATATATGTCAAATAAGGTTTGGAACTTACTCAGAAAATATAATTATATCTTTTCTTTAATTTATTTTGCTGGTAACATTCAAGTTATAGCTTACATAAATGTTAAATCATACTTATTTTAAATTTTGTATTGATGGCCTTCATGAATGGAGATCGGGCTCCTTTATTAATTAGAGAATTTTTCTAATTTTTTAAAGATTAGATAATAGAAAACAAAAAACATGTTTACTAGTACAATTTTTTATTTTAAAAATTGAAAAAAAAATGTATTTTTTAGTTTTCTAGAAATCTGGAGAACTTTTAGGGCATCCCATTAAGGGGGTTGTGCAAAGGTTTTGAGGAAAAATTGGCAAAGTGGAGGAGAGTGAGAGGAGAGTGTACGTGTTGCAGGATGTTGGGGTTCTTTATTCCCTTATGAGGGCCCCACAAAGAAAAGAAGCAAGCAAAAAAATTGGCGTTGGCTGCACATTCGCGCCCAACCGTTTCAAGTTCTTTTTATTTTTTTTTGGGGAAACGGCACTTTTGGCCCCTCAATTGTTTTAGTTTTAGAAATTTAGCACCTCTCAATTGATTTGAGCAAACTTAATCCTTTAATTGTTCATAATGTAGCACATTTGGTCCCTCCTCATGTTATATAATTAGAATTATATTTAATAATTTATATAATTTATTCATTCAATATTAATAATATTTTTATAATAAATAAATACATAAATTAAAAATTTTAAAAATTCAAAAAAAAAAAAAAAAAAAAAGAAGAAGAACAGCCACCGGCTGTCCTCGCCGGTGGCTGTTCTTCTTCTCTTTTTTTTTTCTTTTTTTTTTTTTAATTTTTAATTTTTTAATTTATGTATTTATTTATTATAAAAATATTTTTAATTTTGAATGAATAAATTATATAAATTATCAAAAATAATTCTAATTATATAACATGAGGGACCAAATGTGCTACATTATAAATAATTAAAGGGTTAAGTTTGCTCAAATCAATTGAGAGGGGCTAAATTTTCAAAACTAAAACAATTGAGGGGCCAAAAGCGTCGTTTCCTTTTTTTTTTTTTTTTTTACTTTTTTCTTTTGCTGACATTTTGTTTTTTGTTTTTTTTTTTTACCCTCCTTATCTCATTTTTTATTTCCTAATCACATTTACAAAAACTCCTCAAATAACACACCAAAACACTACTGGAAATTATTGGATTTCAGACCACCTAAAAGTGATCTTAAATCAAGTTTAAAGTAAAAAGTGGTCGGAAATAGCAACAAGGGTTTTTCCGGATACCAAAAATGGTCGGAACAAGGCTTTCGACTTGATTTAAGATAACTTTCAGGTGGTCAGAAATTTCAGAATTTCCAGTAGTGAAACCCCCACTATTGAGGATGCCCTTAAAAATAATTTTCTAAATGAAAAACATAATCATCTATCATCTATTTGACTATATAATCACTATTATAATCACATTCTCACTATTATCTACTTACATATTTATTCATTACTATAATTACACTCATTATCATCTCCTTTTACTTATCAATATCTTCAATTCTATCTTTTCTACTAGCATTTACCTATATAAACACAACTTATTTGCATACACTTAAAGTTATACATTATTCACATTATCACAATTAAAACTTAAACTTTACACCAAGTTTTAGATTTTGATTGAACTCAATATATTATTATTGATTTGGATATTTTTAGTCATGTTATATCATAATACAAATTTAGTTCAATTCGAATATCAGATATTGAAATTTCACTATTAGACTTCAAAGTAAAAATTATATATATATATATATATATATATATATATATATATATATATATATATATATACACACACACACACACACACACACACACACACACACGCACACACACACATTTCATTCAAATGAATATATCTAAAAATATTTTAAATATTAGCTCAAAAATATTAATATTATTGTTGGAGGATGACGGTTCAAGCCAGCATGCAGCCACCAGTAGAGCAGTTAGGGGTGTTCTTGTCTTTCCATCTGTTAGTTGGTTGTAACCAACTTGATATCATCTTCTCACTTTTATCCATTATATATAACATTTCTCTGCTTCGTTATCTGTGCATTTCAAGACATTATTTTCCAAATAAACAAGTTTGATTCTTCTTCTTCTTCTTCTTCAATTTGTTCTCTCTGCTTCTCATCTTCAATGTAGTCCATATTCCAACATGGTATCAGAGCCGCGATCCTACGCCGCCGTCTCTACCGTCGCCGGCGTGAAGCAGGAGACGCTGGCTACCACTCCGATCGCACAATCTCTATTCCTGCGATTCCTTTCTCGTATTGTTCCAGAGTCAGTTCCGCAGAGGAACTCGATCAATCGTTCAGTTCCGCAGAGGAACTCGATCAATCGTGCTCACAGGAGCCTCAACTTAGATGATCTAGGCATCTCTGAGCAGTTGAATAAGCTGATGTCTCTCCTTCAATCCCAGGCGATTGAGAGAATTATTGTTACGCAGTGTAACAACAATGCCGACGCGCCAGTCCGATCAACATCACCAAGGATTCCGCAGAGGAATCTGGGTTCGGAGCAGCGGACTTCCGTAGCCGATCCGCAGCGGAAGGCGATCCAGGGAGCTTGTCCGTCGTTTCCAGTCATTCAATCACCAGTTCAGGCGATCTCCACAGTCGTTCCGCAGCGGAAGGAAGGAGCTCGTCCGAGTTTTGCGTTGTCCGGCAAAGCTAGGAAGCCAAACAGTGAAATCGTGAGAGAAATCGACGAAAGTGAAACTTCGAGTCAGAGTCTTAGCCAAAAACAAATTGAACAATCCTCCGATTCAGCCACAGTGGTTGAGTCTTTCGATCCGAAATTTGTTCGGAGAGAAACGAAGAAGAGCACCGCCGGTGAGGAGATGGCGCCGGGAGTGGAGCCGCAGAAGATGTGGCGGGAGATAACAGCTCGGAATTTGTTGAAAGTTTTAAACAATTTTAAGTTTGTTTTGAACGAGCATTCAATTCGTGACTTGATTGTGGCTGCCGATGCTAATGCATCTAAATTGATCCGAAACATTGCTGCAGAGTGCGGTGTCGCTCTTTATGAGGAGTCTAAACAAGTTTCCTATGATGTTATTAGGGATGAGAATGGAAACGTTAAATTTGATTGCTCAGCTATTGGTAAGCAGTTTGCTGCTGAAAATATATCTGCTCAGGTCGTGAGAAAGCTTGTGGATGATGCATCCAAGTTTTTGAATGACAAAGTTTCCAAAGCCGTAGTCACAGTTCCTGCATTTCCTTTCGTTGCACAATTTTCTTCCATGATGGCATCAAATATGGCAATGTTTGAACGGGCTTGTGATTTCTTCTTTCGCCATGCTGCACAACTTTCAGGGATTCCGTTGAGAATGGTGGAGAGGGGCAGGAGGCAGTTTCCATTGACTAAAGCCAGTAATAAGGTTGAAGAGATGCTGTCTGGGTTGCTTAAGCAAAAAGTTGATGGGTTTTTCATGCTGATAGAGATTGTAAATTGGATGGTTGATGATCCTCCTCAAGGGGGAAATGAATATGCAAATGAGGTCATTATTTTCATGGAAACTCTTGTCTCTACTGCTCCGCAGATATTGCAGGTTTCAATTCTCAAAAGAGTTATGCAAGATGTTGGTGGAAACGTAATGGAACAAAAGAGTCTATAGCCAAGCTAGTCTCTGACTTGAACAGTTCAAAGCTGGAGCCTGATGTTGATGTGGTGGTGGCACCTCCTTTTCTGTATATTGATCAAGTAAAGAACAATTTAACTAATCGGGTTGAGATTTCTGCTCAGAATTGTTGGATTGGAAAGAATGGAGCTTTTACTGGAGAAATCAGTGTGGAGCAGTTAAATGATATTGGATGCAAGTGGGTCATTCTTGGTCATTATGAGAGGAGACATATAATTGGAGTTATAGCCTGCATCGGGGAACTTTTACAAGAAAGAGAGGCAGGAAAAACTTTCGATGTCTGTTTCCAACAATTAAAGGCTTTTGCAGATGCTTTACAAGATGATTCAGAAAGGTCCACCATCCTTGGTGAACTCAATGAGTAGCCTATGTTTGCAGTCCTCACTACCTTTTGTGTTTAAGTTGGGCATGTAGAATCTACACGCTCCAACTTACGGGGGGGTGTTGGAGGATGACAGTTCAAGCCAGCATGCAGCCACCAGTAGAGCAGTTAGGGGTGTTCTTGTATTTCCATCTGTTAGTTGGTTGTAACCAACTTGATATCATCTTCTCAATTTTATCCATTATATATAACATTTCTCTGCTTCGTTATCTGTACATTTCAAGACATTATTTTCCAAATAAACAAGTTTGATTCTTCATATTCTTCTTCAATCTGTTCTCTCTGCTTCTCATCTTCAATGTAGTCCATTATTCCAACAATTATCTAAACTAAATTTTAGGTGAACTTAATATGTTATTGTTCGGATTTTTTTTTCTTGTTATATACCGATATAAATTTGGTTCAGATATCAAATGTAAAAATCTTACAAGTAAAAATTATATTATTTATTTCATTTGAACTAAACATATCCAAAAGTATTTTTAATATAAGGTTCAAAAATCACTCAAAATTATACTTGAATTAATTGTATAACATTAGTCTAACAAATAAATTTGAAAAAAAATAATTGTTAGTAAATAAGTTTTCTAAACAGAAAACAAAGAATATATAAAACATGAAAACAGAAAAATTAGAAAATAAAAAATACGGAGTAGAAAACAATTTTATAAAATAAACGAGCCCGAGCCTGCAAATGGAATGGTCTCTTATCTTCATTTTTCATTTAGAGGAAAGAAATTTTCCTTCTTCGCCTCGTAGCTAGATATGGAGATGAAGAAAAAACGGATGAAAGTAGTCATGATTGTCACGACTACCAGTCTACCACAAATCCACAATAGTAGTAGTAGTTACTATAGTTGTTGTTATATAAGTCAAATAGGACAGAGCTTATTTAGGAGCTTATAGCTTATTTTAAGCTACTAATAAGCTATAAGCTCTGTTTGGTAATGTTCCCAAAACAAACTCGTAGCTTAAAATAAGAACTTATTTTGAATAAGTTCGTAACTTAAAATAAGAGCTTATTTTGGAACGCTACCTTAGGTAGCGTTTCAAAATAAGCTATAGCTTCTTAACTTTTTTTTTTTTTTTTTTATTTTTATCCTTATTATTTAAAAAAAATAACATCATGTATCCTTCCCAATTAAAACCCACTTCTTCTTTATCTGCAATTTTCACGACAAATCCTTTATTATTATTATTATTATTATTATTATTATTATTATTATTATTATTATTATTATTAAACATTTTAAAGAAATGACAAATCCTTTATCTGCACCTTTATCATTTTATTATTATTATTATTATTATTATTATTATTATTATTATTATTATTATTATTTTAAAACTGATTATCTAATATATATGATAAATAGGATGAATATGTTATGAGATGCTAGATCGTGATTATGCTAATAGTTTTATTTTAAAATGTTAAATTTTTTTGAAGACAAAATGTTAAATTTTAATATGTACACAAATCAATTTAAATTTTTTGAAGATAAATGTTCTTTTTATTCTTTTTACATTTGTCAGCTTATCAAACAGCTAATTTTACCAAACACTTTCAAGCATAACAACTAGTTTAACAGCTCTTCATTTTTCAACTCCTAGCTTATAGCTTTTTAGCTTTCAGCTACTTTCCAAATTTCAGCTACCTTTTCATCTAGGTTTCACAAACATAGCGGTTATGTAATTTTAAAATGGTTAAATGATTTAAATCATCAATTTGCAAGGGCAACTTATTGCCTTATTGGTAACTGTCACTAACTGATAAAAATGACTTAATTGCGCTTAAAAAAAATAATTCAAAAACCTATTTATGGCTGCTTCACTCTGTATTGTTAAATCATCACGTGTGTGTATATATATGTATGTGTATATATATATAATTTATTTATATATTGTTGCTTCACTCTATTTTATCACTTTATGGTCAAATAGGATGTTATGTAATGTAATTATAAAATGGTTAAACGACTTTGGTAGGGAATACCCCGACCGACATGCCTTTGTTCTTTATCTTATTGCTTTGCAGGTTACAGGTCGGATTTCTTTAGAAGAGCCCGGTCGGTACCCAACTGGTAATTGACCGACCGGAAGTGTCGACCACCGAGCGGTAGCCATCGAGCGAGAATGTTGAGTAAAGACACGTGGCAGTACCAGACGCTGACACACAGGGCACCCGGAAGGATGACACGTATTTGTTACGTGGGAAGCATGCCGAACGGCCGGACTTGTGTCTCCGGCCCCCGCGGCTATAAATACCCGCCGATGTAACAGTGTAGGGGACTTTTGGACGATCGATAGGTTGTACCCAGAGACTCCCGACCGCATCCAGTCGGTACTCGGTACTGCCAAGTAGATTTTACTTAGGGCCTTTGCGTGATTAATAAAGTCCATTTATTTGCTTTAATTGATCTCGCTCTTATTGTTAATTACCGCACACGTGGAATTTACGATATCATTTTGGCGCCGTCCGTGGGGACCAATGCACAAACGCTACGTCAATCGGGCACAGGTACCTTCTTCATCAGCACGATATTTCCATTCATGAATAACCTCAACGACTACGACCAGGCGGATGCAGTTAGCGATAATCAAGGTCAAAATGTTGATCTCAATCTGAACCTCTCTCCACCACATCCATCGGCTCAACAACCTGCTCAGCATCAAGTGCATTATGTTCAACCCGCTTATCCGATGACAGGTCAACCGGGATTTCCGCCACCCGGTCAGCAAGTACCGTATCCTGGCCAGTATCCATACCTAACACCTCAGCCTTATGGATATTGGCCCGGTCAGCCGGTGTTTTATCCATCTCCAACTGGATATCCACCATACATGCCTGCGTACACGGCTCCAGCCGCCGCCCCTCCAGTATACCCGACTGCCCATACAGAGCCGGAGCCTCAGCCCACTTCTCGGGCTCGACGCTCGGCTCGTTCGCGGTTGGGGTCGGGGGGTGCTGATGTGATGGAGGCACCACGGCAGGATCCACAAGTAGCAGCGGAGTTTTCCGCTCGAGCTGAAGATCCCGAGCAGGTCGAACGGGAACGGGAAGTAGCTTTTGACCGTTTGCGACCGGCAATGCGCCAACGCTTGGGACCGGGTTCAAGCCGGCCAGCAGAAGATGTGCCAATGCAGGATGTTAGTCAGGAGGCATCATCGGGCATAGCGGGTCGAGATCTCATCGACGGCGACGTGCTCGAGAAGCGAGTCAGGCACAGACGGCTCGGGAAGCAAGCCAAAGCCCAAATGGCTGAGCTCAACGAGACCCGAGGATTGCTCCATAAACTTCAGGCAGAGTTCGCTCAATTTAGGAACTTGCATCCCGTTAGGCCCCCGGTTGATCAATCGACTTTGTTGAGAACACCTTTTACGGCGGAGATAATGGCTCAACCTTACCCGCTCGACTTAAAGGTTCCCGGGGAGAAAACTTACGATGGCCGCACGGACCCTGAGGTCCATGTTAATGATTTTTATGGCAATATGATTTTCAAGGGTGTGTCGGACGCCGTGATGTGCCGAGCTTTTTACTCCACGCTCACCGGTCGGGCGGCGGAATGGTTCCGAACCTTGCAGCCGGGGTCGATTGCTGACTTCAAAACCTTGTCAATTCAGTTCGTGAGAAAGTTTATTACCTCCAGGGTGGTCAAGAAATCTTATATGTACCTGGAGAAAGCCAAGCAGATAGAAGGCGAGAGCTTGACCGATTTTCTGGTCAAATGAAAGGCCGCGGTGTTGGAGGTAGAGCCTATGAACGATCTCACAGCCGTTCATATGCTCCACATAGCCCTCCGCGCTGGCTATCATTATCAGGATTTTATCCTTCATCCCCCGACCACGTACGAGGAGGCCTTCCGAAGGGTCACAGATTATGCTAATGCCGGGGAAGCCAATGCTGTAAAACGCTCGCAGGAGGTCGGGACGTCGTCTCGTAAACCGGCCGGCCGGGCGGATCATCGATCGGGTGATGATCATCCCCGATCCCGTACCAAGCCTGGTGAGTTTACAGCGCTTAACCGATCCGCAGCGGAAGCAATGCAATATGCTCAGTCCTGCAATTTGATTAAACTCCCCCATCCCGGGCAAGATGGTCCCGACAAGACCAAGCACTGTGCATATCATCGTTGTGCCGGTCATGATACCGAGGAGTGTACCCACCTACGACAATTGCTGGAAGACTTGCTCAGCCATGGCAAGTTAGATAAGTGCGTGGGCAAAAGAGAAGAGACGAAGAAGAACACCGATCGGAGAGATTACCGACGTTCCCATCACCGTTCCGATCGCTCCGATCGCGACGAACGTTCCGATCAGTCAGGATCCCAAAGAAGAGATGATCGAAGGGATCCCGATCCCCCAACGAACAGTCGACCTGTGGGCAAGCCAACAATCCACGTTATCTTTGGCGGCTTGGAGGACGCTTCCCGACCAAGGGAAAATTGCCCGGTCGCAGTGGTAGATTCCCGAGAGACCGGGAAGAGACAAAAGATAGAACCGATAACCTTCACCCGTGAAGACCAACCTAGCAGCACGGACCACGGCATGGAGACGCTCGTGGTCACGATAGATGTCAAAGGGACAGATGTCCAGAGGGTTATGGTGGACACTGGAAGCAGTGTCAAACTGTCAATGTCCTCTATTTGAACGTGTTTGAGAAGCTTGGGCTTGACAGGAAGGAGCTGACTCCGGTCGGTGTACCACTGTCGGGATTTACAGGGGCGCTCGTTTACCCCGAAGGCAAAATAGTCCTCCGAGTTGAGATCGGTACGTCCCCGAAGTCGGTCAAGACGGAGTTGGAATTTGTTGTGGTCAACCTCCATTGTGTCCACAATATCATCTTAGGCCGCCCTGCCATTATGAGGATTGGTGGAATCATTTCCATGCCTCATCTTTGTATGAAGTTTCCTACTCCGAATGGGGTGGCGTTGTCCGAGGCGACGTACAATCCGCCCGGAAGTGTTATACCCGAGCAGTCAATAGACGTGATACTGGTACATCCTCTCGGGTCAATACGATCGTGAAAGAAGTCTCCACCGATCGAAAAGAGCAGCCCGAGCCTTCCGAGGAGATCGAAGAGGTTCCCTTATCCGAGGATCGACCGGATAGGAAGATTAAAATTGGACAGGCTCTCACCCCCGAGCTCAGAGCAGAAGTTTTGGCGATCCTTCGGGAGTTCGCTGATGTATTTGCATGGGGGCCCGAGGACATGCCCGGGATCGACCGAACGGTCATTTGTCATAAGTTAGCCGTCGATCCTGCAGCGAAGCCGGTCGTGCAGAAGACTCGGCACTTATCGTCTGATCGCTGCGAGTTTGTTCGCGAAGAAGTCAAGAAGATGGCGGCGATTGAGCACATCCGACCAGTCGTCTATCCCGAGTGGGTGGCTAACATTGTCCTAGTTCTCAAGCCACCAGCATGGAGGATGTGCATTGATTTCACGGACCTGAATAAGGCTTGCCCTCTCGACCCGTATCCCTTACCGAGTATCCACCAGATGGTCGATGAGACGGCTGGGGCAGATTTAATGAGTTTCATGGATGATTTTAAAGGATATCACCAGATAATGATGCACCATGAAGATGAAAGCAAAACAGCATTCGTTACCCCGGACGGGTTGTATTGTTACCGAGTGATGCCGTTCGGCCTCCGTAACGCAGGAGCGACCTACCAGAGAATGGTCAATATGCTCTTTGCTGATCTCCTGGGCCGAACGATAGAAGCTTACATTGATGATATGTTGGTCAAGAGTCGAGACCGATCTGATCACACTCGGGACCTTCGGGAGTGCTTCCAGATCATGAGGAAGTACCAGTTGCGGCTGAACCCAACGAAGTGCACGTTTGCTGTTCAAACCGGGAAATTTCTCGGTTATATGATGACTAAGAGAGGGATCGAGCCCAACCCGGCCAAGGTCAAAGCAATACTGGACATGCAACCACCATCCACCGTTCGGGAAGTCCAGCAGCTGACCGGTCGGTTGGCGGCACTTAGCCGGTTTCTCTCCAAGTTAGCCGAGCGCGCTTTACCTTTCTTCAAGGTATTGCGTAAAGTAAATGGTTTCGCCTGGGACGAAGAATGCCGAGCGGCTTTTGATGAGTTGAAAGAATACTTGATGTCACCGATTGTGCTCTCGAAGCCCGAGCTCGGAGAAGAGTTAGACGTATACCTTGCCGTGTCCGATCGTGCAGTAAGCGCAGTTTTGTGCCGAACCGATCCGGAAGGGGTTCAGCGACCGGTGTACTATGTAAGCCACGCGCTACATGGTCACGAGCTCCGATACTCCCGGCTTGAGAAGGTCGTATATGCCCTTTATACAGCTGCAAAGAAGCTGCTCCTTATTTCCAAGGCCGAGTGATTCGCGTGTTAACCGATCAGCCAATCGGTCCTGTCCTCCGAACCGCTTCGTCGTCTGGCCGCCTAGTCAAGTGGGCGTTGATGCTGACCCAGTATGCCATAGAGTACCAACCGAGACCAGCGATCAAAGGCCAAGCACTGGCAGATTTCTTGGTTGAATGCACCGCTCGGGAAATCCGACCCCCTGAGGTTACTGATCCTGAAGCTGAGTGGTGGACATTGGCTACCGATGGGTCAAGCAGTAAAAAGGGTGCGGGAGGAGGCGTAGTTGTCACGAGCCCGGAAGGATTCAAAGTCTATTTCGCCCTGATGTATCAGTTCCATCCGACCAATAACGAGGCCGAGTACGAAGCCTTTGTTAACGGCTTGCAATGTGCCTGGGACCTGGGGGCTGAGTACGTGAGAGCCCAGACGGACTCCGCGCTCGTGGTCGGGCAGGTCCTCGGCGATTATGAAGTGAATGGAGAGCGACTACAGCAATACCGAGACCTGGCCCTAGAGAAGCTCGCTCTGTTTCGAGGGTATACCGTTTGCCATATTCCCCGACTGGACAATACGGATGTTGATATCCTGTCCAAGTTGGCCCATGATGCTCCAGAGCACATATCAAAGATAGCTCGGATCTTGGTGATCCCAAGGCATAGCATACACAGGTTACCGGTCAATCCTATCCAACCGGCCGAAGACGACTGGATTACCGATCTGAAGGAATTCCTCGAGCACGGTCGGCTCCCAGACGACCCCCAATGAGCTCGAAAGGCCAAACTTAGAGCCCCGAGGTTTCAAGTCTTGGAAGGACGTCTTTACAGACGATCATATGGAGGCCCTCTCATGCGCTGCTTGACCACATTTGAGGCTGACCTCGTCATGAAGGAACTACATTCCGGCATCTGCTCATCACATCAAGGAGGACGATCGCTAGCCCGTAGGATTATGGTGATCGGATATTACTGGCCGTCCATCCAGCTTGATTGTGAAAAGCTTGCTCGAGATTGCGGGACGTGCCAATTGTTTGCTCGGATGCCCGGACGACCGGCCACTTTCTACCAACCAGTCACGACCGCGATTCCCTTCGCTAGGTGGGGGGTAGACATATTGGGGCCTTTTCCTCAATTGGCCGGGCGAAGGAAGTTTGTCATTGTCGCCATCAATTATTTTTCAAAATGGATCGAGGCCGAGCCGTTAGCAACGATCACATCTCAACAATGTGCTCGGTTTTTATGGCGCAATGTGGTTTCCCGTTTTGGCGTGCCCATGCATCTCATAAGCGACAACGACCGCCAATTTGTAAGCCAATATTTTCGGAATTTCTTGGCCACGATCGGGACGACCCATGTCCGGTCGTCGGTGGCTTACCCGCAGGGAAACGGACAAGTGGAGAACGCTAACCGGACTATTCTGGAAGGTTTGAAGAAGAAGCTACACTCGGCAGGTCGTAGTTGGGCCGATGAGTTGCCTTATGTTCTATGGACTTATCGAACGACCTCGAGGGAAGCTACTCAGGAAACGCCGTTCGCCCTTGTTTATGGAGCTGAAGCCCGACTCCCGATCGAGGCTTGGATCCCGACTGCTCGAGAGCGTACATTCAATGCTGAGAAGAATGAACACTCGATGGTCGTGGATCTCGACAGAGTCGAGGAGAAGAGGGAATTAGCCGCTCGGCGTATGGCCGAGTATCAGAAGCGGGTGAAAAGCTCCAAAGATGTTCGGGTTAACCCTCGTTATTTCCAGGTTGGCGACTATGTTCTTCGACGACGAGAGGCCAGCCAGCCACTCGAGGGAGGGAAGCTTGCACAAAATTGGGAAGGGCCGTATATCATCAGCGCGGTAGTGCGGCCGGGAACATACCGACTGGAGACGACGACCGGTCGGATCGTTGAAGGCACTTGGAACTCCGAGCACCTTGTCATGTTTAGGCATTAGCTTATCTTTTTGTATTTTGACGAAGTGGGGGGCTCAACCTGCGTGTTGGACTCGTTCATCATCCCTTTGTAAATTTGTTATAAACCGTCTGTGCACGGGAAAATGCAATGTACATACGATCATTGATTGCTCGACCGTCTGCATACGGCGGCCTGATCGGGTCTTCGTGTTTTTCTAAGCTTTGATCAGTCGGCCCCGTTCGAACATCACCCGATTGGGACTGCACGGCAACAACTTAGGGGCTCTACGCTCCATAACGCCTCTCCCTCAGTCTTACTGATAGGGGTATATGATCAAGTTCTTATAACCTCTTAACTACTGGCTCTAATAGCCATTGATAACTCAACCGGGCGATCATATCGACCGGGTTTTGCGCTCCTCTTCGGCGGACACCTGGGTCACGCCACCGATCGGGAAAGCCAGAGCACCCGGCACATTTACCCGATCCGTCCAACTGTTGTCCACTTTTGCACCCACTCGTACCTTGAACGTACAAAAGTGTGGGGGCCGGGACTAAGGAAGTGAGTATTAAAGGCCTAATAACCGGGAATTCCCGAGTAGGAATGGCCATTCTTTTTCAAAGATTCACGACAAAGCCAAATGGTCGGGATAATCCCAAACCGGTAGGCCGGTCGATCGGGACCGTATGGTCGTATTACGATTAGCATGCATGCAAAAAGCGTTAAAAGGCATAAAGTGTAAAAAGAAAACGAATGGCAAAAGGTAATTTGTCATTAAAAGTTCTTAAAAAGTGCCCGGTACAAATCAGGACCGGGCTCCCGACTACTGTCACTTCAACAAAAAGATAAAAAAAGAAAGAGAAAGACCAAAGGCTTCATTTCTTGGCGGCTTCGGCATCGGTTAGGGCTTCGGCCTCCGTTCCGATCGTCTTTTCAGCAGCAGCTCCACTCGGGCCCACGACCTCGATCTCGGGATCGTATGGGTCAAGTCCGGGGTCGGGGACTTCAGTCGGAAGGGTGGTTAAGACTAGCTCGAGATCTTCGCCCTCGAGCGCTTCCCTCATGTTCGATTCCGTCCTCTCCCTCATGTCCCGCTGGCCACTGTTGTAGGCCCAGTGAAAGAAGGACCAGAAGAGCTCGTCCGCGACCACGTTCTTTCGCATTTGGCGAACGAAAGACATGCCGGGCTCGACCTCCCGGAAGAAGTAGTCGATCGCGACGGTTGGGTCTGTGCTCTTCTTGACCGCCTCCTTTTCCTTCTGCAGTGCCTTCGACAAGGCACTTCGGTCGGATCGAGCCTTCTTCAATGCGTCCTCGGCCTTTTTAAGCTCGGTGGACATCTCCTCCAGCTCCTTGAAACGCCGGTCGGCGACCTTTTTGAGCCTTATGGCTTCGGTGGCCAACAGT